TAGTCTACCATTTGAAACTGATTAATACAATGTGAAATGTATTTAACCATCTGCTAGTGGTGTACTTAATTTTCTATATTATATAAATCACAAACCTTTTAAGGAATACGAAATGATGATTACTCTGCACAAATTAAGAAAGCTACAGAAAGAAACAATTAGTATTCTCGCTTCTTTATGTTAATTTTTAGAGACCGATACACCGATTGTTTGCACCCGTGAAATGTCGGGTTGAACATAACTTTAACTTCTAATTTTGTGAAAAGCATCCTACACAGTATTCTTTATCTTTAGGAAAAAATAAAAATAAAATCCACATTCTTGACTGCTTGATGGTTTTCAATGTGTGTAGATATTCAACTTGAAGACTAATTTGCCGCATTTCTTGACCAAAGAACCGAGGCATATTGTTGGGATTGTAAATTTTAACAGCTGTATGCATATAGCGCAGGTGAAATTGTATTCTCAAGATCGCCCTTTCGTGCGCCAAAACAATCTTCCTGAATTTCAAGGATATTTTCTATAACAGACAATGGCTCAGTAACAAAGTCTTCTATTTGACAAACCGGCCCTGATATTAAAAACACACATGCACCCAAGTGCCTGGTCGAAAAAGTGTGTGGCTTTACATGCATGATTAATCTCCATCTATCATGACACTCAACTAAAATGCTTGTTAGGGCAGGTATGGGTCAATTTCACAATACGCATGACCAATTACATCGGCTTGTTAAATCCCTTTTTGTTATGATACTCAGTTGATATACTCGAGAGGGCAAACAAGTGTTGATTCAGAGTAGTAGATCCATGATACCACAAAGTACAGAATAAATTACACTGATTTATTGAATGTGCTTATTACAATGCGGATCGCATTCTATATTCTGCATTTTTTCCCCCTTTTAATTAATTTTAAATATCTCTGCAACTCATGCACTATAGGCCTTTAATGCAGAAGACTGACCCAATCTACCCTTTTGTATTGTTCACAATCTCAACTATACGATTTACTTGAATTGTAATTCCTAATGCTCGACTTGGCACGTACAGGTATCTTAATAATGTTTGTTGTGGCCTCACAGTTACCTCACCATTCACCCCTTGTCAAACTTTCGTCACTGCATATATCATGTACTCTCTTATCAGAGGGGGCGTGTCTACTCCACTCTTGTTTATCATAATTTTATCCTGATACTCTGCTGAAGCGCCCGACTGGGCGGGTATTTTGATGCTGATTGATAGAGTTTGGTAACAGACTTCTGTATTTTTCATATCAGTCTTGTTTACAAGCATGTACATACTAACACATATGCATCCACGTTTCTGATCATAGGGGGTATGGCTACGCAAGATTAATTGTTATTGTACCTCTACTTTTCTGAAATGTTAGGCAACACAAACGTGGAATTACTCTACTACACCTGGTGTATAAGGCGATCATTTGAATCTGGTCAATACAATGTGAAATGTATGTAACCACTCAGTAGCTATGTACTTACTTTAATCTCAAATTTTTAATATCTTGCACTCCTCGCTAACCTTTAAGTTTACAAGAGGGCTACGAGCCGTCACTTCGTGAAAAAAAAAATTACAGCTCGTCCTTGAATTTCGTGTTTTCACGAAGTGACGGTTATGTTTACAGCTCATTTCCCCCCAAAATATAGGAAATTATTGAAATAATTAAACATAGAAGTTCTAAGAACTAAACATTGAGATATTTTCTATCCCAGGATATAACATTTATTTGCCCTTGATACATTAAAGATGTTGAGATTATAGTTTGAAAGTTTGAAAGCGATTTATTAAAAACTAACTTTCTTTTAATTGCATGCTCATCTGTCACTTCATGAAAATAGGGACGAATTGACACCAGAATGAAGGTACAGCATATCTATAAAAAATCCTTTCTTTATCTGCATTTTTGTATCAAGATTAGTTTGATCTCCAAAAGAAAATCTTTTTATACTACATCACATGTATATTGAAAAGCATATCCTTATTTATGATGTTCTCTTTTATCACAATTATGATAATAGCCACCGTCATTTGATAAATGCGTGACTGCATACTCCAAAATTCTAGTATAATTTGACTTTAATTCAATTAAACATAATATAAAGTCAGAATAGCACGCTATACATGAGACACAAACAATTCAGCATTAAATGTGTATGAAAAAGAGAAAGAAAATACACAACAATAGAAGACAGCATATTTTTGTAAATCAGATTTTGAATAGTTGGAGATAAAGAACTAGCAGATAATAAGAAGATTGGAAGAAAAAGAATCAAAGCAAAGTATGTAGAGACATGTATACAAGAGAGCGAGAATTAAACCAGAAAAGAGGAATAGGAGAGGAAAAGAGGAATAGGAGAGGAAAAACAAACGTAGTACAGAAATAGGGAGAAGGGTAGAGCAGAAGAATTTTGATTTCAAAGATAACAGGGAGGGGGGAAATATTATTTTAAAAAGATAATGAAAATAAGAGGATGAGGGGTGGAAGCAGGCATGTGATACATATTGTTATAAATAAATTGATAAATAATAATTTACCAAACTCAACAGACTTCTATAATTTTAGCATATTTACAGATGACTATATTTCAAACATTCAATACTGACTGGTTATATGGAAGAAACCTCTTTTGTTTAAGTTAATATCATTAGTCCTTTAGTTTAAGAAACTTCCAATCCTGAATAAGTGTGTACATAAAAAAGTAAGTATTTTGTTTTAAACAAAGACACTTTGGTCCCCAGTATATCTCTTTTAGCCCATTCAGAACACCATCAAAGCTTTTGTTTCACAAGTTAGAAATATTAGATGCTTATAAAAATGCAGAACCTTGCCACTAACTTTTGCATATATGACTTGTAATGTACCTACCTCTGCACTTTATAATAAAATATTATTATAATCTAATACAACATCATTAGATAAGAGGGAAAATGAACAGATTGCTATGTTTACCAAAATAGTCCAGTAGACAGTACCATATGCCATGTACATGACCTGGAAAAGTTGATAAGTACAAGGTTTTTTTTGTTGATTTGTGTTCTAGATTGGTATTGAAGTAAATTCAGCTGGGTTGCCAGCTTGGCAACCTTGGGCAACTTTTTAATAGCCATATTAGCATAATCATCTAATTAGCATATGTGCAATATGTAATAATGTTGCTTATCTCAATCCAGGAAGCCTGAAAACATGGATAATACGACTTTTCAAGGGTTTTATATGACAAGGAATTCATTTATGACACCAATTTTTATTTTTAAGTAATACAATTGTCTTAAATAGCATAATTAGCATAATATGTACAATATATGGACTTCATTGTCATTGTTTATCTATAAAGCCTACAAATGGTGCAATACAAGATTATAAATCACTTTTGAAAGATTAATCATTAATTCATGGGAAGATATTCCATGTATATGTAGTATAATCAGCCCAATTAGCATAATCATCTAATTAGCATATATGTGAAATATGTATTAATGTTGTTAATCTTAATCCATGAAGCCTGAAAACATGGATAATGTGACTTTTCAAGGGTTTTCCATGACGAGGAATTCATTTATGACACAAGTTTTTGGTTCCAAGTAATGCAATTGTCTTAAATAGCACAATGAGCATTAATGAGCTAATAAGCATGTGTACGATATATTATGGACTTCATTGTCATTTTTATCTATAAAACCTAAAAATGATGCAATGCAACATTGTTAATCACTTTTGAAAGACTAATTATTAATTAATGAGAAGATGTTCCACGTAGATGTAGTATAATTAGCCTAATTAGAATGTATGTGCAATATGTAATAATGTTGCTAATCTTAATCCAGAAAGCCTGAAAACATGGATAATATGACTTATCCAGGATAAATATTGATCTAGTAACAGTAACAGTAACTTAGATCTGGATTACAGTAACAATATCAGTTAAAATCTTGGTAAGATATGGACTTAGTGTTTAGAAATATAGAGATAGAGCTTGATCTAACCTAGAGGTCTAGATCTAGACTCTAATCTAACTTTGTTAGAGCTATTAACTCCCAATATTTTCAGTTCATTTCTTAATGACCCTTCATTTTGTTGAACGAAATTACACCACTGTAATTGGCCACAGGCATCATATTTTGTACCGACTTGAAAATATGCTTTTATTGACATTTTGTTGTCGTAATTTTCTCAATATTGCAGCCTCAAAGTATGTAGAACAAGATAAACAAAGGAAATTTGCCGCAAAATATCGAAATCGAGGAGTATTTAGCATTAAAGACAAAGTGCATGGCTTATCACCCCCCCCCCATCCATTGGAGATCCATTAGTCAGTACAGTCTGCTGCGCTAGCGGGAATGGCTGCGTAAAGATCAGTACATGGGGTTGTAGAAACGTAATTTGAGGCATAAGTGACACAAACAAGCTTATAATATAGTTTTTACGTACAAATCTGGAGAATTACCAAATATATATTATAATTGTACTTGTTAGGAAGAAATTTCATGAATTATTACACTTCTACTCACCCTTTCAGATTAAGAAGAAGAAGCTTGACTTTATCGTGTGACGATATTCGCCTGTTCGTAAAACCGCGCTACAATAAACATCGGTCAGAATCGCGTCGAATAGCTATATTCGCCGGTTCTCAAGAACGTGCAATGCTATTCGTCGTTCATACCAAAGTATTAAAAATGACATAACTCTCAAAATAAAACGATTTGAGTTATAATATTTTTTTATAGATAGATTTTGACATACACTACCCAAATATAAAAAATATCCAAATTAATTTTTCGACCCGAATTTGGGCTATTGGCCGGTTCGTAAGACCGACGACGATATATGCAGGTCTTGAATATCCAGTATAACATTCATTTTATGCTTGACAATTGTATTGTATTGTATTCTGCAGTAATGTACTATATGTCGTTAGTAAAATCGTTTACTCTTGTCCTTTTTTTCTTGATTGATTTTGTTTGTTTTTGTGTTCTTTTCCTAGGTTACAGCATGGAAAGTACTGGTTTCTGGTGTGCTTAGTCTTGTGTCTCCTAGGTTTGGTCATTGTTCTGGTCATCAACGACGCCAGTATCGATGTCATGCAGAGGACTATTACTTCCCATCGTAAAAACCTCGGCAGGTGAGAATTCCTCAGACCACTTCCACATTATAGTAAACCAACCAAGATGTGATTTTCTTTTTGCGTTGGATGACATCTTGGGGTAATGTAAGGCATCCATGCTAAAACTCTTGAAAAAATATCAAGGAATATGATAGAGGTGGATACCATGCACATTTTTAAAACTAAAATTTTTTTGCTCAAAATTTAAATTGATTCATGATTTCTCAAACATGTCCCCCCCCCCCAAAAAAAAAAAGAAAGAAAAGAAAGAATACCCAACAACAATTAAAGGCTCGAGACACAGATTTAGGGAAAATGAAACTATTGTCTGATCAAAATTCATGACTACATAAAATTTGTATGTCTAGTCATATTCAAAATATGAAAGAATAGCTAATCGGTTGATTTTTAGTCTAGAAACATTGTTTTATAGCTTGATTAATATCTTGACCTGGAGACCAACAAAAAGAGTTTATTATTTAGAATTTCAGAATTTTAGACTCGATGTCAACCGCGACAACGATCACTGAATATTGTAGGATCGCATATGCTTCCAAAATTAATTCATGAACCCATACCAAAACTTTGTATTACCTTTAAAGGTCATTGTTATAGTCATGACAATATCCTTTTCATGGTCATCAGAACTTCATGACGTCATTGTGAAAATGAACTCATGATCATATCTTCATTACGGAAAGTCATTTCTCATACATATTTATCATTTATATTTATCATGATCAAGGTCAATATCCGTCCGGTCAATTTCAGGTCAATAAACGTGTGTGTACGTTCCATTATAGAGTGGTGAAGTGTGACATCATCAAAAAACTATTTTGAAAATTTCTCATTTTTAACATCATTTTCCGAAAGAGCATCAAAAATAATGTACAAAGGTTGAAAATCAATTGTATACACTGTATGTTGAGTATTGGCTGGGATATGACCATCTGAATAAATAGATTTCCTATTGGAACTCAGTGTTATTTTGCTCCAGTTCAAACAATTACGAACCACAGCAAATAACATTAGGAAATCTATTTATTCAGATGGTCATATCTCAGCCAATACTCAACATATTCAATTGATTTTCGACATTTGTACATTATTTTTGATGCTCTTTCGGAAAATGAAGTAAAAATTGATTTTTATGATGTCACAGCTTCGGTACTCTATAGCTCTTTGAGATGCGATGCAGTGATGCACGGGGATCCCCAATTTTGTTTTCATATTTAAATAGAGTATGAGTCGGAGATATGATTAAAAATATTGTGACGTCATCATACTGGCTTAGAACTCAAAGTACGAATTTGCATATTATAACGTCAGAATATTTATGGAAAATTGATTGTATCTCCGTAAATATTGATACATTTTCATCCAAATTTTGATATGTTACAGCTATTACAATTCCCTACAAGATCAATTCTCACCATTTTTCATTTTGATAACATCATCATAGTGAAAATTTCAATTTAAGACGTCATGTCAGAATTTCTTAATTTGCGTGTTATGCCTATGGAGGGTGAATTTCATTCACATCATGAATCTACATGACATTGGTCTTTCAGCAGTATCTCGCTTATTTTGGATCTATTTTCTTCCCAAATTTGGTATGTTATACATGTACATGTAGCTGAGACGATGAGCTATCGCAAGTGTGCCTTTTGTTCAGATGTTGGGATCAAGTCAAAATTTTCAAAAGAAAGTTGAAATTGCGACTATGCGAAGGCCATTTGTCAGCCTTGCATCTAATGTCTATGGGACATATTTTTATCTATTTATCTTTTGGTTAAAGCACTCGACTCCCATTGGAGGTTCAATTTCTGGTGTGTCAATTTAAAAAAAAAAATTTTTTGCTGTTGTTTTATATGATGTTTTATATTTGATTTTATCACCTTCTTTGACTACTATAAAATATCATGTGTATACAATCACAACAAATATAATATACCGGTAATGCCTAATTTTGTGTGTTATATCTATGGGAGAGGAATTTCACTAGTTTGCATACATATACAACCCTATGGGAAATCTGATTTCTTGTCGTGTACAGTGTATTAAACCTATAGGGTAAAAGATAAAGATCAGTTCTGGTCATGCGATTGCATTGTGAAAGAAACGTTGTGAAATCGATCAGAAAAGGTTGATCATCTAGCATATATTTAATTTAAGTATTGGTGTGTACTGCAAGGTTCTGGGATCATAAAAATGATAGGAAATTTGGCCCAGTCTAGGTAAAGTTACAAGCACCGTACACAGAAAGATGTATATGGGACTATGCACATGTGCGTGACACATGCGTTATATCTATCACATCCCAATAGATAAACTAATTTACCAAATATATCAATTAGTAGGCAGTTTCCCAGCAAAATTGTTATCATGTTTTAGTCAAAACATATTCTTTCACATGATTGGTAATAAGAGCTTCCATTTCATTTTTTTGAAATTGGGGCGTTTCCAATAGTGGTCTTTACCTTTAATCTCTTAAGTCTGCTACAATATCAAATTGTCCCATTTCTGTGATGCTAGTCTCCTTCCCTGACATTTATTTTTCAAGTTATTCAGCCCAGGTGTATGCAATGTTTACGTCTCTCCCACGGACATAGAATTGTTTACATGTCTGTACTTCTCTCTTTCTCCATATTGGATGCATCGTTTTCCGTTGCATCTCCCTCTCTCTCTCTCTTGCTCTGTTTCCCTTCACCTCTCTTGTTTTGCCCCCTATCCTTCTCTTGCTCTGTCTATGCATCTCTCTCTCTCTCTCTCTCTACTCTTTCACCCTCTTCCTCTCTTGCTCTGCCTCCCTCTTCTTTTGCTGTGTCTCCCTCTGACCTTTTATGTCTATCCATATGAGATCCTTTAAAAAAAAACGTCCAGACCACATTATTCTTCTTCAGTGAGGAATTCATATCTCGTTACTATCTAGACTTCTGCTAGTTTTATGAATATGGTTCATTATCTCTAGTGAGGTTCATGTTCGGTTTCAACAGGAAAATAGTGTTCATATTTTTTAATAATAGGGGCATGTGCGTAGCTAAAAGACATTTTCACTTTGTCCAACAAAATTAACACAGGAATAAAAAATGACCTGAAATTATGAGTTATTGATGTTTGTCGGTTAAGATTTATTTTGTCCAGAATATGCAGAATAAAGATAAACAAAATATTTTACCATGAAAAAAGGAACAATGATGAATGATGATTAAAACTGATTGGATTATCATTTTTCATTAACCCTAGATACTCTAAAGATGCGATCGCACCCCTCTTATCGAGCATGCTGGGAGGCTCCAAGACAGCAGCAGAGCTTAAAGATGGAGAGAAAACCTCCATCAATGGGTCATTCTTCAGGTCAACCCTAGAGGGAATCCTAGACAATGACTTCAGCCAAGCTCCGGAGCTATCCATACCACAGATGGTCATAGAGGAGAGGAAATATCGCCATGATGACCAGTTTGAAAAGTACCTGGTGAGTCGGTGATTACCTAAGCCATTGACTGCTGAATTCTTTCACTTCCATGTGTTTTAATACAGGAGCCATCTTGTTTCCATAGACAATGGGTTAAGGGCTGATTTTGAACAGATGTATATGATTTGTTTCCTTCTCTTAAACCATTCTCTTTATCTCTCTCTCTCTCTCTTCTCCCTCTCTCTCTCTCTCTCTCTCTCTATCTATCTCTCCCCCTTTCTCCCTCCTTTTATTATCTCATCAAACAGACTTGATAAACTTATCAATTTACCCTATTACTCTGGACTGCCTGATGAAATGCGAATTTATAATGTATGGTTCCGAGACTCAGTTAGAGAAGATTTCTTCCATCACTTCAATTACTCTTGCTGGACATGAAATTACCCTGTCTAATGTATGTCGCAACCTTGGTGTGTTTCTCGACTCAAACATGAAAATGTCTACTCAAATTCAATATGTCTCAAAATCAGTACGTTATCAGTTACGCAATTTGGATTTTATTCGTAAATATCTTAACCGTAGTGCCACTGAGAAAATTACTCATGCTTTGATTTCTTCTCGCTTGGATTTTGGTAATGGCCTTTTGTTTAGTTCACCTCACAACTTACTGGCAAAATTACAAAGATTACAGAATGCTGCTGCTGGTGTCGTGACCCTGTCCAACAAGTACAGTCACATCACACCAGTCCTCAAATCACTCCACTGGTTGCCCGTAGAAAAACGTGTTGTTTTCAAGATTATTTTGCTATTATTTCACTGTATACATGGCTCTGCTCCGCAGTATAACATCGGCTTGATTAAGCATTACTTTCCTTCTAGACAGCTACGTTCTCAAAACTCTGGCTTACTTGTTACTCCTAGGGTTAAAACAAAGTAGGGGGAGCGAACTTTCGCTCATGCTGGGCCTTCGTTATGGAATACTCTCCCTCAGTGGGTTAAGAATAGCAGTTCTGCTGAAGTGTTAAAAAACAATCTTAAGAAATATCTGTTTAATTTAGCTTATAATTGATGACCATTACCTTTCATGTCTGTACCTTTCCTATCGCACTTTGTATAAATGTATCATGTATGTATTTCATCTTTTGCACAAGCTGCGCCTTGAGCATTTGACTGTCAAGTGGATTTGGCGCCTTATAAATCATATGTATTATTATTATTATTATTATTATGACAAGTTCACGCGATTTTGCATTGAATTTCCCATTTACAATTCTATGCATTTTCCAAAGAAGAAAACACTTGATGGAAACCCATTTTGATTTTCTCCATAGTCCACGCATCAGTTTTGATTTCCTGTTTTTCTCCTCTCCTCCAGAAATGTCCCACCACAGTGCGGAAGAAGATGCTGGACAATCCCAATATTCGATCCAAGTTTGTCTCTGACATCCCGATCCTCATGTGGGATAAGCACTTCAATGCCAGCGAGTTCAGAAGACTCACCAAGTACAAGGGCGTCAATGGATGGAGGGACATTAATTATACAGGTGATTAGGGTTATACTTACAGGGTTCCCCGCAGTCATTGAAAAAACTAGAAATGACATGGGGGAAATATTTTAAGGTGTGGATAACTCATGAAATAGGGAAAATTACCCAAATCACGGTTAATCAGTATCATTCAAAGAGACAAATGTTGTGGCATTCTCAGGGCTAGAGGTGTTTTAAGTTCCCAAATATACACGACAAGGAAGTAAAGGTTAATTATTCATGTAATATTACATGTTAAACAAATTTTATTACGTATTTCTCTTCTCTTCTCTTTCCTCTCTTATCGCTTGTCTTTATCTTCCTATTCCATCTCTTCTCTCTTTCTCTCACCCTACTCACTGTCTCCTTTCCTCTTTTTTGTTCTGTGCTTTCCTCTCTTCTCTCTCTCTCTCTCTCTCTCTCTCTATCCCTCCCTCCCTCCCCCTTCCCTTCCTCCCGTCCTCCCTCCCCTCTTTCCTCGTTTTTGTTCTCTCCTATCCTCTCTTCTCTCCCCCCCCCCCCCCTCCCCCCACCTCCCTCCCCCCTCAGATGTTCGTGGCATGGTAGGGCACCTGAACTCCCCCAACAATCAGTACATGTTTGATGACAGGTTACGGAAGGCCCAAGTTCCATCAAACGATTGCATAACATGTGCAATCATCGGCAACGGAGGCATCCTCAAAGACTCGGGCAAGGGAGCAGAAATCGATGCGCATGACTATGTCTTCAGGTAAACATTCTAATCTGTTTTGATTTGATTTGATTTGATTTATTGGTTTCTGCATCTCTTTTTTTGTGCATCATACATTTTTATGAACATAATATGGTTTGATACATTATTTCATATGTATATATTATACAGAAAATATATGAAATTAAACAAATATATTGAATGCATAATTAACATACATTAGAAGCAGGAGGGCTAAAGCATTTTAAGCAAGTAGCTTGACAATGAAAACAAAAAACAGAAGAGTGACTTGCAGAGAAGAAAAGGAAAGGGGAGAGAAGGAGCATTGGTTTTCTTTTGTCATTATGTATTGAATAGGTGGGAGGGAGAAGGGCCCAAGTCCATCAGAACAGCTTTTTTTTTTTTTAGATGTTTAGAGAAATTTTTATCCATTTGCATCATAAACAGGATTTCATGTGGTCATTAAAAAAATATTAAAAAATCATCATGATAAAAGCAACGAAGAACATCTATTAAATGTTAATTTCCATTAAGGGCCATTCCCTTTTTCCATTTGCATCACCAATAGGATTTTACAAGGTAAATTAAAAAAAAAATCATGATAAGAGGAGTGAGGAACTACTATTTTCCATTAATAGCCACTACCTTTTTATGCCTCCGCCACCGAAGGTGGTGCCGGAGGCATCATGTTTTCGGGTTGTCCGTCCGTACGTCCGTCCGTCCGTCCGTACGTCCGTCCGTACGTCCGTCCCGTTTGACCGTTATCACAATATCTCAAGAACCATTTAAGATTTAAACTTAAGACTCGGGAATAGTATTTATCACCATAGGAAGACGATCTGATTAGATTTTGGAGTACGTAGGTCAAAGGTCACAGGTCACAGAGGTCAACTTATGAAATTCCTTGTATTGAGTTTGTTAGCGCGATATCTCAAGAACCATTTGAGATTTAAACTTCAAACTTAAGGATAGTATGTATCACCATAGGAAGACGATCTGATTAGATTTTGGAGCACGTATGTCAAAGGTCAAGGGTCACAGAGGTCATCTTATGAAATTCCATACATTGAGATTGTTATCATGATATCTCAAGAACCACTGGAGATTTAAACTTCAAACTTAGTGATAGTGTGTATCACTATAGGAAAACAATCTGATTAGATTTTGGAGCACGTATGTCAAAGGTCAAGGGTCACAGAGGTCAACTTATGAAATTCCATACATTGAGATTGTTATCATGATATCTCAAGAACCACTGGAGATTTAAACTTCAAACTTAGTGATAGTGTGTATCACTATAGGAAAACAATCTGATTAGATTTTGGAGCACGTAGGTCAAAGGTCAAGGGTCACAGAGGTCAACTTATGAAATTCCATACATTGAGATTGTTATCATGATATCTCAAGAACCACTGGAGATGTAAAAATTTCAAACTTAATGATAGTGTGTATCACCATAGGAAGACAATCTGATTAGATTTTGGAGCACGTAGGTCAAAGGTCAAAGGCCACAGCGCACATTATGAATGCAAAAACAGCTTGTGATCGCGTTATCTCAAGAACCGATTGATGGATTCATGCCAAAATTAGGTCATGTTTGTTACTTGCAGAGCCAATGAACTGAGTAGATTCTTGGTTCATAAGGTCAAAGGTCAAAGGTCATGGGCCCATTATGTATGCAAAAATAGCTTGTGAACGCATTCTCATTAGAACTGACAGATGGATTACTATTTAACTCAGAACATCTTGCAGAGCCAATGAACTGAGTAGATTTTATGGTCATGAGGTCAAAGATCAAAGGGTCATATATGTATATGAGAAATTGCTTGTAATCACAATATTCTGAGAACCTGTCAATGGATTACCATTGAACGTGAATTCAATTTTTTTTTTCTGTTTTGGTTTGTAAAATTGCTCTATAACGGAGGCATCATTTTCGACTGCGCGCAGTCGAATTCCATCTAGTTTCATTCTCACTCCCTACCTCCCTACCTCTCTCTCTTGTTCTATATCTGTCTCTGTTTCTCTTGGTATCTGTCTTTCTCCCCCCCCCCCCCCCCCCTCTCTCTCTCATTCTCTCTTTCTCTTGCTCTTTCTCCATCAATTCTCTCTCTGTATAACACCATTCTCATATTCAGACATCATGTCCCATCTGTGCTTGTGTACATATTGGATTTTACAGCAGAGCTGAAGTTGTGAAGTATTTGTACAGACCCCAACCCTTAAAATTCAAGGATCGTGATGGCAATGTCAATGTCAAAGTCAATCGCTATTTATAGAGAAGATTGATTTGTGGTAAAAACTGTTTAAAAAACGTTAAAAAGTGGTGGAAAAAAAACACAGCTTCTTTCCATAATGGCCACTATCTTTCTCCATTCTCACTCCCTCTCTCTTCATTTATTTGTCTCCCCCCCCCCCCCCCCCCCCCCCCTCTCTCTCTCTCTCGTTGAAACTTATTTCTCAAAGTTTTGCAGGTTTCTAATGTTTAGCTTCAGTCCCTCACTCCTCTCTTCCTTCTTCCTTTTTCCACCCAATTCTCTCTCTCTCTCTCTCTCTCTCTCTCGCTCTCTCTCTCTCTCTCACTCTCTCTCTCTCTTTCTCGCCCCTCTCTTTCTCTCTCTTTCTCCTGCCCTCACTCTGTTCAACACTTTTTTCATATTCAGACATCATGTTCCATATGTGCTTGTGTACATATTGGATTTAACAGCAGAGCTGAAGTTGTTGAAGTATTTGTAAACACCCCAACCGTTAAAACTCAAGGATCGTAATGGCAATGTCATTGTCAAAGTCAGTCGTCATTTATAGGAAAATGATTTCTGGTAAAAACTATTAAAAAAAAAAAACGATAAAAAGTAGTGAAGAAAATCAGCTTCTTTCCATTAATGGCCACTATCTTTCTCCATTCTCATTCCTTCTCTCTTCATATCTGTGTCTCCCCTCCCCCCTCTCTCTCTCTCTCGATGAGACTTATTTCTCAAAGTTTTGCAGGTTTCTAATGTTTAGCTTTAGTCCCTCACTCCTCTCTTCCTTCTTCCTTTTTCCACCCAATTCTCTCTCTCTCTCTCTCTCTCCCTCTCTCTCCCTCTCTCTCTCTCTTTCTCTCTTGATCTATATTACTTCGACATGGAGTTAACACCCTTATGAACCCTAACAAACGACATGTTAAACATCTCCGTTAATATTTGTGTACATTCTGTACAACGTATTCATAGTATTAACAAATCATGACCTGGCTGGGATTTTTCTCTTTTTTTAGTTATATATATTTTTTTGGTAGTATCTATACAAGTGTATGCATCGGTACTATTACTTCCTTTATTAATAATCGTGATTGAATAATACGTGATATTGAAACCAATATGATCTTCATGAAGCTGATGGGAATGGTGGTGGTGATGATGATAATGATCATATTGATGTCGATGATTTTGATGATGATAATATTGAGGATGGTTTAGATGGTGATGATGTTAATGATGATTATCATGATGATTTTATGACACGTGTCTTCCTATTCCAGAGTAAACGCAGCACTCACCAAAGGTTTTGAGAAAGATGTTGGTAAAAAGACATCCTTTTATTGCTTCACCTTGATCACACTCCACAACACACTGGCACTGAGGCACAAGACAAAATTTGAAATACCCAAAGGAGATGAGGTAGGTATATGAGAGGAGATGGGAAGGGGAGAGGGAGAGAAGGGGAGGGAGGGAGGAATGGAGAGGGAGGAGAGGGAGGAATGGAGAGGGAGGAGAGGGAGGAATGGAGAGGGAGGAATGGAGAGGGAGGAATGGAGAAAGAGGAAGGGAGAGGGGGAATGGAGAAAGAGGGAGGGAGGGAGGAGGAGGAGGGAGAGGGGGAGGAAGGGGTGGAGAGGGAGGAAGGGGATGAAGAGAGGGAGAGAGAGATAGGATAGGAGAGGGGAAGGGAAGGGTATTGAGGAAGGAATGGAGAGGGAGGGAGGGAGGAAGAGGGGGAGGAAGGAGAGGGGGAGGAGGGAGAGGGGGAGGGTGGAGAGGGGTCGGATAGGAAAGGGGGGAGGAAGAGGGAAGGGTATTAAGAGAGAAATGGAGATGAAGAGAGGAAGATGAGGAAGGGAGAGGGGAGGGGTGAAGGGGTGGAGAGGGAGAGAGAGGGGATAGGATAGGAAAGGGGAGGGGGAGGGAGGAAGATAGGGAGGGAGAGAGAGAGAGGGAGGGAGGGAGGAAGAGAGGAAGAGAGAGGGGATAGGATAGGAAAGAGGAGGAAGAGAGGAAGGGAGAAAGAGAGAGAGAGAGAGGGAGTGTAGGGAGGGAGAGGTAGAGAAGAAGAGAGAGGGAGGATAGGATGAAAGAGTAGAGGGACTGTATTTTATTTGAAAAAATGATTAAAAATGCTTGACAAAATGATTTCAACATTATCGAGCAAACCAGTTACTTGAAATGTATTAGAAGTAAAAAATAGCCAAAGGAATGACTATCTTTATCAGGGGTCAAGGTATCAAAAGTCTTCAGGGTTGAAAATGTATTGCTATGAAAACACTAACACTATGATAGGATCATAACTCAGGTGAAACAAACACATTGAGACAGGTAGATATATACAGAACATGTCTAGGGTTTAGAGATCAAAGTTGGGAAATATCACCGCTCATAATCCATGCTATTTTTATGCGTTTTGGCAACGGTTACGTGTGTATGTATGGAAAATCGTTGCAACCGTTTTAAATGTGTTTCGCTGGCACACAAATGAGCTATGGCACAGAAATATACATTTTCCTTGTCTGTCAGTCTTCTCCACAAAGTCACGATACCTGTTCTAGATTTACATAACGTCTACCTAAAGACCCCTTGCAGATATAATCATTCACACTTGAGTTTCCAAACTTTTTTTGAGGAGTTTATAATCAAATGTTGAATACTTCTAGCTGTTTTCTTTCCTTCCACAGAATCTTCGTTACCTTTTCTTTGCCGATTCTGACTGGACTTACACGTATCTAGCTGCAGCGCTGTCTGGGAAACCTCTACCTAAAAGCACAGGCAAATACCACAGGTTAGCTTCAAATTGCCCCTTCCTTCAAGATTCTCCATAAATACCCAAAGCAGCTATTTTTGTATACAAATTGACAATTTCTGTTGATTTTTCTTAATTTTTTATTTAAAATTTAATTTAATGAACACTTTTTATTCCTTTAAACTATGAAAGAGTGGAAAATACATATAATTGTTGCCAAAAAAACTGATTCCTTTAGACCTTTAGAAATCTCTGAATTTGTTAATATAGGTAAAAATTGGAAAACAAAAAAAATTCTGACAAATCATTCCAATGTGTGATAAAAAGCGTGATAATATAATGGTGGTGAAATGTATTTGGAATCAGTTTGGCAGAACTTATTGTTGTGATTTACGAGTTGTTGTTCTGTGCATGAATAGGATATGTACAGTCAACCTCGCACAAGTCCCTTCGTTCTTCTCTCTCCCTCTCTCTTGTACCTGCCGCTCCTCTCTCCTTCCACCTCTCTCTCTCTCGTACCTGCCCGTCTCTCCCTCTATATAACCGCCTTAAAAAGGATTTGGGTAACTCTGTCCCAGATTCTGAAACAAAATCCTGGATTTAGCTCATATTATAAAAACCTTTAGGTCAGTCAGGAACCCCATGACTTTTACAAGCCGATCGCCTGTCTGATTATCAAGATATTTATGACTAGAAATCAAAATCAAATTTTGCGTTTTCTTAACGGTTTTCATAACACTACAGTCTATTGGGGAAAACGAGTCTGGTAAAACAGGTCACTCAAAGATTTTTACTTTTTGAGGTAATTCATGATAATTTTGGAAATAGATCACAAATTCAGAGTTTCGCATAATGTGGCCGCTGGATGGAAATATACCCTAGCTTGTTTACCGTTCATTAATTGGCCACGAGGTGGCAGTACGGCATGGCCTTATATTTTTTACATGTGGTCTGAATATGTAATATTCATGTTATTTCTGTTGTTGTAAACAAAAGGTAATGAATGTTACGAGAGCTTAGCTGGAATTTCCAATATTCTATGGCGTGAACACTTGCATCAAGCTTTCTATTTTTAAAGCTCACAATATATGAACACTGAATATTTTCATGGGCATTTCTTGTATTTTACTAACGGTTATTTTTTATATTCAAATGAGAGTAAGTTAGGACTCTTTCTCGTTCAGTTTGACCTAATTTTTTTTGTACTTCCTCGATGTTATGGCGATTATTTTTTGGACGATCCACTTTGAATTGGAAATATTTTGTGCTCCTTTTTATCTTAAGTTCATTCTTCTACTGGTATCATATAGGTTCAGATAGAAATGCATGACAAACGTTTCCGCAATCATTATTGATTTAAATTTTGTAGTCACAAATGTAAATATAATACATCATGATCTTTTAACATCTGGTATGTTGGAGATATGAGAAATAAGGTGAAATAGCACCGAAGCATATGATGTGCCTGAGAGTAGCACATCAAGTTTGAAGAAAGAAACAAAAATCTATATTGCATTAGAAGGGATCAATCATAAAAGTATGTTTCATTATTTATAAATTGTCTAATTGCTCCCATTATTGGAAAAGATTAACTAAATATACGTATACATGCATCTATCATTGTAGACTTTCTTGAATACTGAAACAAATTTTAATTCCCGTGGCAGTGACCTATATCGTCATATTTGTGATACAGTATTTATTCAGGTGTAATAGGGGATATGTATTTAGTACCAAAGGTTTGTTTGCATTGGTAAAAAGAAGATTGTTCTGGCCATTTTCTTGCATTATTTGGTCAGCCACAGCCAAAATAATCGATGCAATGCACTGTTGGTGACTGCAATTAATGCTCACCTTCCTTCATATCTTTTAGGGTTTTTTACTCTCATTTGTGCTTGGTGATTTCCTGTAGTTTCTCCTCTTTTTTTTTTTCTTCTTCTTCTTCTTCTTCTTCTTCTTCTTCTTCTTCTTCTTCTTCTTCTTCTTCTTCTTCTTCTTCTTCTTCTTCTTCTTCTTCTTCTTCTTCTTCTTCTTCTTCTTCTTCTTCTTCTTCTTCTTCTTCTTCTTCTTCTTCTTCTTCTTCTTCTTCTTCTTCTTCTTCTTCTTCTTCTTCTTCTTCTTCTTCTTCTTCTTCTTCTTCTTCTTCTTCTTCTTCTTCTTCTTCTTCTTCTTCTTCTTCTTCTTCTTCTTCTTTCTTCTTCTTCTTCTTCTTCTTCTTCTTCTTCTTCTTCTTCTTCTTCTTCTTCTTCTTCTTCTTCTTCTTCTTCTTCTTCTTCTTCTTCTTCTTCTTCTTCTTCTTCTTCTTTCACTTTTGAAGCTAGAATACGTTTAAACATAGTTGGTTATACTTTATGCTAAACTCAATTTGAGCCTGGGAGGCCCCCCCCCCCCCCCCCATGATCTCGGCCGTCGAAAGTCCGATGAACGCGAAAATTTGCATGTTTGTAGATAATTACGTAAGGAACAAGATGGTATAATTAGTTTTTTCCTAATAAGAAAATTTTTGTCGTTATAGCCTAATTGATTATGCAAAATGCTAATTTTATGCATTTTACAGAAAACTCTTCATATTTGTCTGTAGACTTGTGAAGAATGTTAAAAATGTATGAAATGAATGTTTCCTTCACCTCAAATTCATGAGGTTACATTATTTTTATGATATTTGTAAATGCATAGGTTAATTTGCATAAATTATGAATACTCATTCATCAATATCAAATCTAGAAATATACAGGGAACTAGAATCATTACAAAAATTGTCAGACTCCACTTGTGAATGTAAATTGAAACCCATTATTCATATGAAACTTCTTTTCTAACACAAAATAGTTATTTTGAGAGAGAATATGTTAAGTGAGAATTATCGAGTACAACTATGAATTGCATCCTTTTCAATATTATTCAATTCGCTGAAAATATTCAGAATATGAATATGATAAATCCTCATAATACACCAACGCTGTTCAACGCATCCAACGCTCCAACCATAGCCCATACGCCAATGCACCATATTTCTCAATATGGGTGATTTTTTATTTTGCAATCGCCCCCGTGGGCAACTTGACGGGGGCGATTATGGAGCTCACGGGGGCGATTTCGCCCTTCGCCCCCGTGTATTTTGAGCGCTGAACACCTTACAGGTATATCCGATTTCGACGAAAATGGTATCAAAATGTGCGTAAGACTTGAGGGAGAAAAAGTCATGAAACGACAATTCAAAATTCCAAGCGGTTGCGGCGCAATCTCCGAAAATGTCGAGGGGGGGGAGACCTCCCAGGCCCCCCCCCCCCAGTACAGTAAGGGTTAATAGGAGACATATTTTCTCGCTTCTGACATGTCAAAAAAATTGCTCCACACAATGGAATGACCCTCAGTCAGGCATGGAAAATAATTTAAAAGTTAACATCAAATTATCTTTGTATTTATTTGCCACAACAGAGGTCCCCCAGCATTTCCCAAGCAACTGACAGCAGATAATGTAAAAGTTATACATCCAGATTTTGAGAGATATCTGAAGTGGAGGTTAGTATGTCCACTACTTTTATTTTCATCAACATTGAGACAATTTTCCATGGGCATCTAAAATTATGTTTTATTATAAATCATGACGGTGTATATTCTTGCAAATGAAAATGAATGATCGAGGCCTCTATTAATATTTTATATTAATAGTTATGTCTTTGCTGGTGGATGTGTATAGTTTTTTTTTGTGTGTGAATCTTTAACGACAGTCCTTTTAGATAACCTAATGTACATTTTAATTCCAATATTCAAGTCATGAAAAGCAATGAAATATACCAGTTTAATAATACTACTTAAAGTTAGGGCTTGACAGCTGAATCCTTGCATGAACTTTGTCCCACATATTAACAAGTTATGTATGCCAGGTGGATTCAATCAATGTAGAAACTTGTGAATTTAATAATCTGTTAGCAGGACCTTGGTATGTCAACAACAACCACCTCACACTAATTCCGAATATTAACAAAAAGATCAAGGAATTGAAGTACTGTAGAATTTTATTATAAGGAGCTACCATTGATCTGTATTGATAACAAATCCACCAAGTAATCACAAATTTTTAAACTCCTTTCGTTCCAGTACAGAATCATGATTAATTTTAAATTGCAATCGATATGATCAGCCGCGACTGTTCATAAGACAGGGTCCTTGTGTACTAGTTGGTGTGTTTATATGGTAGGCATTATCAGTGATATTCTATTTGATTTGAAATGATTTTTGAAATGTTTCATTTTATTTCAATTCCTGTAGTTGGGTGAATTCCTCAGCTCAACATAAAGATGTCCACAGACCTACAACAGGTGCAATCATGCTACTAGCAGCCTTACATACATGTGATCAGGTAAATCACAATCTTATCACAATGTTCCATTACAGTTTTAGTGATTACATAAACCGTCCCGTGATTTATAGAGTACCACGTGTCAACTCGTCACATAACAATTACCAAAACCATATAAATAAAATGAACAAGCATAAACAATTTCTATGTGAAATCAATATCTCATTTTCATTTCGTGATGGGATGTATTTTGTTTATTAATTCGTTTTGATGCAGTTACAGTAATGTTGCTGAATAAAGAACTTGACCCCCTAGTGCTTTATAAACCAAAGGACTAACTTAAATCTGAGTCCTCCTTGAGCAACATGAACCTAATTCCCCCAAACAGATATTTTGCATAAAAGAAATGAGGAGGTTTAATAACTTCAATTTGACATATGAACAAAAGTCTGTAAATGCTTTGTCAGTGGGACAGCTGAAACTTCTTTGCTTTTGTAATGTAACTCCCAAGATACCTCAGTCTCTGAATGCTTGTTCACATATGGGGAGGTAACCTTGATTGTCTCCTGCAAGGGTGTATTTACCCCCTTGACTACTGAATGTTGTCAATCCTATAGGTTTAATACTGCAGCCAGCCGGTACCCAGAGGCTAAGGGTTAAGTTTACTGTGCTTCACATTTCTGTATTTTTAAACACACAGATTCAATTCAATTCAATTCATATTTATTTCATTTCCAACAGAAAGATAAACAAAGATATTACATTTTTTTCATACATAGTTCATTTTTTCTGGTAACTATACTAATACACTTTGCACATAATAAAATTATTATGAGGAAATGGGGGGATCCACTAAAAAGCAGTGCTTGTAGTTTGTGGATCCCCAGAAAAAAAATATAATTGTTTCAAGCGAGTATCCATGGGAACAGTTGTATGCAGCTTCTTCTTTAATTCACAATTTTCATTCATATTTCAATTCAATAATAATTTTCTTTCTTTAGTCATTCGTTATATAAAGCAACTCTTGTAGTTTACCGCAACATGACTGAACGGAAAGTCTATGTAACTCCAATAATAATAATGATTATTAAAAGTCATCTATTTTCTACCCCTTTTCTTTACCTTTCTCCTTTCAGGTCAGTATATATGGCTTTGCAGGGAGCTACTCTGCCTACAGTGAACATTACTATGACAAGGAATATTCCAAGCATGTCAACTATGCAAATCATGACAACAATGCCGAAAATAAGCTCTGGCAATACTTAGACGAGCAAGGCATTGTCAATCTGTATCGCAGGACCCCCAAGGAGGGAAAGTGACAGGACAGATTGAATCGGTTGGGCGAGCGGAATGGAGATCGTCGTTAATCAAGTCTTAATGGTGTATGATTCAAGTACTATGATCGTGAGGATCAAGTTTGTTAAGTGATGCCTTGAGCGAACTGTTTCTTCATCTGTTTCCGTCCCCTCCCAAGAGTCCCGACGAGTGCATTGAAATCTTTTTGTGGTTGCCTAGCTAGCACTCTCTTGAGTACGTAGAGACCTCCTACAAACGTGACACATGCCGAGTGTCACTGGCATTGCATTGAAGCGCATGAGAAGAACATGATGATCGATGGCTATCCATAACCATGACAAGCTGCAGTGTACAACGACATGAAATGAGACATCATTATTGTGAATGGCTTTACAGGCCACTGACAAAATTAGCAGTCTGAGACTTTTTAATAGTGCAAGACAGGTTTGCTGTACAGACAGTTTAATCATGTCAATTTTTTAAAGTAAAAAATTAAGATGAATATATCACCTTCTCTCGTGTGGGGTTTTGCTTTAAAAAATATATAATCTGAAAATAAGTATTATTTCTTTACTTTAACCAAATCATAAACCTGTTGCAATAGAGAGATGGTTTTGATTAGTTTTTTTTTAGTAGTAAGGATTAAGCTACATTCATTATTTTTTCCCTTTCTTTTTTGTAAATACTTGAGAATTTTCTTCATGAATATGTATGCATAGATCTCCTTAATTTTCAAATTTGTAATATATTTTCATAACTTTATAACTGTATAGATAGTGCTGCAAATCCCTAGATGTTGAGTTTAAAAAATGAACTGCTAGCTTTTAGATGTAGAAATGTAGAGTTGCTTAGGAAATGAATGCTTGTATATTGATGTTGCCAAATCTAAGATGAGATGTACTAACGGTAAGTTAATCACTGATTATGTATTTAAAGTCTTTCACTGATCATTCCATGTGCTTTTACATTTGAGATTTAAACAAGAGAGTAGATGAAATGTTTTACTTGGGAATGGGGATTTTCAGTGTTGTCTGTTTGTATGATTGCTTTGTTTAATTGTTCATTTGTTTGTTTAATTGTTGGTCATTAATGTTTCTGCTCTATTCCTATTTGCTTTTACATTTGAATTGTAAATGAAAGAATAGATGAAATATATAACTTGGGTTTTCTGTATGTCTGTTTCCATTTGTTATGTTTGTTTTGATTTGTTTGTTTATTTGTTGGTCATGAATGTTTCTGCTCTATTCCCTTTGGTCTGTTTGTACTGTAAGATTGACCTATTTTCCTTGTGGACAGGAATTATTTGATGTGATGGCAAAGACTTACAAATATTATCCAGTTTTAATGCCTGTAGAAATTGTCATCAGATTACATAATATTAATGTATCATTGTAATGCTCTTACATTTTAACCCATGATTCACAAGACTATTGAAATAGTCTGAGCTCGATTTTAAAAATGTCTTTTTGATTGCTTTATTCATTCGTTCAGAAGGTTCCTTCCGTGAATGGAAATTCAAAGGAATATTCAATAATCAAAGTTTATAAAACTCTCTAAATGATAACATTATTATTAAATGCAATATCTGTTTGAAAAATCAATTCAGACAAAAATCTCGAATTGTATAGCTAGTTTCATTACATGTGTACACTTAAAAATGGCAATCATGTTTCAGTGTTATATCACAGAAATTCAGTCTGCAATTACAAGTCTGCAAACTTGCTAAAATTGAACAATAAATGTTATGTACGCTTCTAGAAATTCCTTATGTTAATGTTAAAACTATCTCCTTATTTTATGTTCCCCTGTGTATCCCCTTTTCACTATTTTTATGTAAGATGGGCAATTGTATAGCAGATAGTAAGTACTTACGTATATGCATTCAAAACTTTAATGTATCTATTCTATATATGATGAATGTAAGTTGAATTTTCTCAGTACCAATGCATTTTGAATTTTGTGTAGGGTCATCTTTGCTCTAACACACAGAAGGCAATCTACATTTGGTATACATGTAAGTTGTAACTATAACCCCTCCAAAAAAAAGTTTGGAAACTCAATTTTGAATGGTAATATCTCTCTTGTTATGGCATGATCATCGTTATGATTAGTATCGTTAAAAAGTGTGTTTATTTTTGTGTAAAATATTACCCCATTCGTTATGATTTATCAGTCATGGAATGTGCATTACATCAGAACAAGGGGCAAGGTCAAAGGTGAAAAGTTGCAAAATGCACTGCTTCCTTTCTGGCTGTGCATTCTCCCTTCTTTAAAGAGTTTAGGGCTGCTGTGTAGTACGCTGCACGGCAAAACCAGTGCTTAGCAGTGCATTTGACATCTTTTCACCTTTGACCCTGCCCCTTGTTCTGATGTACTGCTCATTCCATGGCTGCAAAATCATAACAAATATGGTATCAATGTATGATACTAAACGAAGCGATAATTATCCCAAGACAAGATAGATTATAATCGATCAAACTTGAGTTTCCAAACTTTTTTTTCGAGGGGTTTATATTGTGGTTCTTGAAAAAAAAGGAGTGCCTTGTAAATTAGACTTCTAACTGTTCATCAGTACTCAAACCTTTGTTTGTATTTTTTTAAGAAGGAATTTGTAGAAGGGTTTATACCAAAGCTTTTACCTGTAAAGAATTAGGTTTCAACTTTCAAATCATGTCGTATGAGAATTGATACTCGGCTCTGTGGAGTTTTTTCAAGAAACTCTGATAACTGGTGTATAATGTATTCATCCTTAGCAGTAGGCATCTCTGAGTTTCAGCAGGTCTGATAATTTCCCGGTTTTAATTTATTTTTCAGATTTTATTTTTTCCTGATATTTTATTTATTTTTCTCCAGGGGGGGGGGGGGGGGTGAGGTGCCGTTTTTTCATGACTTGCTTGAACGCTTCGCGCAAGTGCTCAGATTTCTAAAACCTTTTCTTTTTTACACTCTCATTATCACCTGGTTTCATCCAGTATATATCCCAAAGAATACATTGTATTTTGCTACTAAGAATACATTTATCCAGGCATTATTTTGCTCTGAGTTTCACCTGATATCCCAACAAATACATTTTCCCCCAGCATTTTGCTCTAAAGTTACATTTTTCCTGGCAGCATTTTGTTCCTAAGAAGACATATTTCCCACTATTATGCTTCAAAGAATATTATTTCCCTCCAATGTTATGCTATTTTGCTCTGAATTATGAGCTATCATCTAATCAGAAAAGAAGTTTTACAATTTTAGATGTCATAAAAATTATTTTTGTGAAAGGACAAGATTTTTTCTGTTTGAAATTGTTTGCTTAATTGTTTTGCTCATTTCATATTATTGTACTCTGTTTCTTGTATTATTTAGATCAGCTCAAAATTATATGAAAATATATAGCAAAATATTAGCTCTGATCTTTCTTAGAATCATGTTTAGAAAGCTTTGGCTATATGATAGTTCAGAGAGGAAGACTTTCTTAGAATCATGTTTGGAAAGCTTTGGCTATATGATAGTTCAGAGAGGAAGACAAATGTTTTAGGCGAATTCTGAATCAGATTAACAGACCAGGCGCGGATCCAGGATTTCTTAGGGGCCGAAAAGTCGCTCAGTGGGGGGGGGGGGGGGGGGGGGGGGGGGTACAGAGCACAATTTTTTTTTTTTTTTTTTTTTTTTTTTTTGCTCCCGAAAATTTGAAAAACGCGCCGGCCAAAAATTCGCTCAGTGGTGGGGGGGGGCCCGGGCCCCCCCCCCCTGGATCTGCCACTGTAACAGACAATCTGTGGAGTTTTAATTTTGGGCTCTAATTTCAGCTTTATACACCATATAAAAGCTTTATCTATTTATTAAAAATGCAGAGATTTGGGAAGGACAGTGTACAGACATCAAATTCTTATCCATAATAAAGTCGGAAGCCGGGCTGAAGAATGCATGATTTGTTTGATTTACCAAGAGTGAAATATTTGTAATGAATTGTAATCATCTTCATATTTTTTTACCTGTATCAGCCAAATCGGACATGTCAAAATTTTATGTATATGACATTAGCCATATTTAACATTATTGAATTGTTTGCTTTAATTCTGCTGTAATAGGGTACATTGTTAAAATCAGTAAGGGACAACATTCACTGCTGTTGAATACTATAATGATATTGATTATGTTCTTTTATACCTGTAAATTTTTTTGAAATGTGCACTAATTACGCAAGTACTGATTGAATACTGATTTGCGCTACATGCTCAAGTCACTATAAATGTTAATGTATATGAATATTATAATACAAATATTGGACATATGATAATGATAGTGGATTCTTGTATAGCGCTCATGTCTGTCAGACTTGACACTCCTGGCACTACACCATGATTATCACATGTGTTTATGGTTATTGGTTATTGATGGGTTATTATTATTGATTATTGATTATTATTATATTATATTATTATATGGTTATTATTAGTAATTAATTTAATAGTGGTTAATGATAAAGGGAAGCAGGGAAAAAATACTTTAACAATTTCGGGGGCTACTTTTCAAGCTTGCTTGCATGAAAATAACACTCTTTATTTTGTTTTGCATTGAACTCTATGCAATTTTGGGAGGCTCTTTTATGATTTTCGGGGGCTCTTTTATGATTTTCAGGGGCTAATTCGCCCTGAGCCCCGCATATTTTTTTCCTGAAGGGAAGCAAGGAAACATTTGGGCCCTGTTTTATCAAAAATTTTATCAAAAACAAGTAACCGTAACTGTTAATAACCATAACCATAAACTAAAATACTAAAATCGTGACGTTCGATTGGCTGAGAGCAAATTTGTCAAAGAAATTTAGCAGTGTTTATTTGTTAATTGATAGTGTAAACCCCATCTGTGTTTCATTTTGAAAATATGATAACATTTTGATTGTGGATTCAATTAGTACAAGGTGTACATGTATATGGTATGTCCTAATCGATGAACTGAGCCATTACATAGTATAAATATCTTAAAGACCCTATCGGATAAAATACAACTTTATATCAATGGAAAGGTGAATGAACGTAGACTACAAATATAAAGGAATATAAAAAATATTTTTCCTTTCAGTATTGCACAAAAGCACAATAAAACCTCATTTTCTGCACCCCTCCAAATTAGGCAATGACATAACATCTGAGCATGATCGACTCACTGATATAGCTGAGGCGATATGAGCCATGCTTTATTAATGCAAAGTCATCATGAAAGGCGTACTCCACAAAAGATGATGATGTCATCAAGTCGATACCTAGTATTTAGGTAGACAATTCTTATTTTTATTTGATTAAGATTTTGAGTTTCTAGGGAGCTGTAACTCTTCTGACAGACACTAAAAAAGCATTTAATTGATATCATTGTAATTCTACGGCATATAAGCTTTCCGTTGATATACAAATGATCTATTTCATTTTTCACTTCCGACAGGGTCTTTAAAGCTCATGTGTACATTTAGAGCCTTGTTAAAATCCAGAGTGGGCCAATCATGAAGAGAGAAAATTGATTGAAAATAGAGGGATCCGCTCGTTTCATACCAAAAAGCAGATTACAATCTGTTTGTCAGAAGTCCTATCGTAATTCAGTACTGATTAATCTGAAAAAAGAAAAACAGTACCAATAGTGTTGTATTAACCTACACATAAGATTCTTTTTTTGTATTATAACTAGTTCATGTACACTGTGGTTGCAAGTGGAAATTTTAAGTTGTATTGTCAGAAATGTTCTTGTTGCCTTTTTTCCACAACGCATGTAATTTGCTACGATGCTCGTTATTTGTATGTTCACACCAAATAACAAAGAATTTCTTGACTAGACGATTTGGGGCAATTTGCAATGTATGATTAATTTTTGTATGCAGCAGGTCCCAATGGAGCAAATATATGAATGATATATATTTTACCTGTAACGCATATTCTGAATGTACCGATTGTAATGGAATCTAAGTTGGTGTATCGGTAATCTGTAAGAATTTTGTTTGCCTAAAGGGATTAATTGTGCCAAAGTGTAATGCAAATTCTGTAACATGTACTTATGAATGCCATAATGCAAAATACAATCTCATGGCACGTATTTAAATGGCAGTCGATCTGCAGTGCTTCTAACACGAATCCATTCCTATTTTTAACTGTAGACTCAACATTATACCTTACCTATTATTATGCCCAGTCACCACAACCTTTTGACAATCACTGCTTGATATTCAACTGTGCTTTCCACTTTGGCTGTAAAATGCAGGCATTGGGGAAATCCAATTCTTTTTAGAAGTTGTCTTAACAATGTGTATCGTAGAGACAGTTAGGATAAGAAGATTACACAAATGTATTCTCAAGTTTAAGATGACCAGCAAAGAGCAATTTAGCATGGTTTCTAGATAGAATATGTTTTTTTCTCCATGTGGAACTGATTACCGTTTATTAGATGAGACTATATCTAAATATAATCCATATATTGGGGTGTTTCACAAAGATCCTAAGTCGAACTTAACTCTAAGTTGGACTTAAAAAGTTATGGAGAGCCGTTTGCAGCCTTGAAATAAAATATAAACAAAAGCGAAAAATCAAGTATTTTAGACTTTTTATAACTTCCACAGCCAGAACTTCTCCTCGATAATCAAAAATATGAATGATTTGAATCAACATTTTATGCCTTTTGAAATAACTTTTACAAAATATTTTCAAATAGGCTTTCCAAAATTGTTAAGTCCAACTTACAGATAAGTTCAACTTAGTATATTTAGTATATTTTTCATTCAGTGATGATGTGTTTGTGATATTATTACCGGTATGTCATTATTTTGAATTTAATTTTGTTGATATTCTTGCAGAGATGTACAAAAACAGCATTTGTGTACACCAAAGATATGATTAAATACATTAAGATTTTAAAATAAATTAGATATGTTTGAGTAACTAAATATTATCATTTTAACTTTGATCCCTTAATTATCCTTCGCACATTTTTGTAAACATACATGATGTAAGTACGGTATTTGACCTGTTCATTTCATATGTATGTATATATACATATATATATATACATGTATTTAAGATTGTTGCTAATAGATTTGAAGACAAATTTTTATTGACTAATGATAATTGTGTGTGATGTATTAACTTATCATACTTTTTGAATCAATGAAAATAAATTAAATGTTTTTTTCTCTCTTATATTATATGAAATACCGAGTGTCATTTGTTTGATTCTTTATATCTATCGAAAGTGTGATAATTTATCAATACTCCAAATTTAGCTCCGGTGCTCAGTGAATTCAAGGAATAAATCATACCAGGTACCCACTTACTACACCTGGGTCGAGTGTGGCAAATATAGATGAATGTACTTTGTGGGCTACAGACGGGTGGCTTATCCACTAGACCAGGCCTGCACTATAGACTACTTCTCCACAGAAATTGAAATCGAAAGACACAATTAGAGAGCTTGATTATAAACATAAGACTATAAATTAATCGTAATAGGGAATGATCAAATGTCTTTACAGACGCCTGTTTCAATTGCAAGGATTTATTCTACACCGTACGTGTCAAAATGCCATGCATTCTTCATGGGCTAAGGTCACTCTGGCTTGCACTGTCTTGATTTCCCTTGGGCCTTGCCTGATGTACCACCAGCTCGGTTGAAATATGCACTCTTTCTAATTACCGAAGCATTAAAGCCCCCCCCCCCCCTACTCCGACTGATGATTTTTTCTTATCTCAACAGTAATTGATGAGGGGAGGGGG